GCCGTAAGTAGTTCGATGAATCCTACATAAAAGAAAAGAAAAATGTAAGTGACTTTGGAAGTTTGAAACTCGAATCAGCGGAGTTCATAAAGCCCCAGGGAAACAGGATAAATGAGTCAACAAGCAGTAAAAAATTTCAAAGGCGAGTGATAACTTTATTTAGTGAGATTATGAGGAAAAATTTGGGTTCATTAAGGCCAGAAATATCTCACCAGTGAATCCAATGAATCATTTCCCCCATAAACAAATATCAAACATCAGCTCCCCACCCAGATTGTTCAAACATGATGAGTGTCTCTGAGATCATATGAGATCAGGTATGAAGACAATGAATCAGCGCGCGCTTTCATCTCCGGGTTCCCACCTAAAGCACGGCCCTTTAATTTGCTTTATTTGAAAAGCAGAAATCAAATCCATCGCAAATGTAAACACGCTCTTCCTGCAAGTCACTAAAGTGTCACCAAGCGCACAGGAACTCGTGTCTGCTTTGATTCCGGCGTCAGCTATAAACATTTCCATTCTGCGCAGACTGCCGCTGCACATAGCTGGAATAAATGGCACTTCATCACACAGAGCCCAGCGCCGTTATTGATGAGATTTCGGAAACAAGCATCCTGGATTCCTTCAAGTAAGCAGCAGAGAGGGACCTATAACCTGCTGCAACACATAATCCCTCCTTTTCTTGCTTGAGCTACTTCCTGACCCTCAGCTCTCCCCGGTGTGTGCTGTACCTGGCATATTTCTAAATCAGAAACACTGGATGTAGGCTAATAGGTCTGGGATCCGTTTAGTACAATTACAAAAAAATTAACCTTTTCTGTGCTTCGGCAGCACTGGAATTGTGGTTTCTATTTGAAACCCTCAGCTTGCAGGGATAGTTTGAATTCAGCCGGAGCAGGGAGGAGGTCCCTGGGTTACTGGAGGCCCCAAAGGGACCACACAGCTGGCCCGCTGTAATTGCAGTGTAAGGGACCGTGGAAAGAGAAGAGCAGCGCAGAAGGCAGAGAATTGGTTTCTCAGTAACCCTGATGGATGTCATGCTGTGTTACTGGTCCATCCCAGGTGTGTCTGTGCAGTCTTGTGAAACATAAAATAGCATTTGCATCAACACTTGGAGACTCAGACCTGGAAGGCTTGCTCATTCTCTCTCTGTCATCGTATTCCCATTCTTGATGTAATTTCCCCCTGGACTTTCTTTCCTTCTCTCCCTCTGTATCTGTTACTCTATTTTTGTCATTAGTCCTCGTTGCTGGGTCAAATCAGGAAGTTTGAACAAAGGTTTGCCTCCACCCAGTGGTGAACCTGTGCAGCAGCTACAGAGATACAAATGCAAGGCACACCCATAGACCCAGATATTTATTTCTGCATGTTTTGATTTTTTTATTTTAATGGTAAATGGACTGGTTCGTATATACACAACTTGCCTCATTCACCCATTCACGTAATCACTTTTTTGTACATTTTTGTGCTTTTTTTCTGATTTTATTTGTGTTTGAAATATATACTTCACTCACACAAACCTGCTACCGGCAAATAATTCATCAGCAAAGCTAAGATTTGATTTATGAACACAGTCTGATGCATGCATACTGTTTCCTTCCCGGATAGCTGACTCATTTGGGTAGAATCCAGGATACCTGTGACCTGTGATCTGTTACAGTTACAGCACTGGGAAGTGATGTGTCAGTCAAATATGGCCCAAAATGCCACAACACACACTCAACATTTGTCCCATAAAAGGTGATCAGTGGCTGAGCCAAAGTTATTATGGTTTTTTTTTCACATATATATAGTTGGTTTTTATTTATTTATTTTTTTTCATTTATTTCCAGCCATTGACGTTTAGTTTCAGTTACTTTCCAGAATGGATTTTTTGTTTCAGTGATACAATTTACATATTAAATATCAATTTGTTTATTTTTATTTTAGTTTTCTGAATTCACAAAATCATTTCTGTCAGTTGTTTTTCTTTTCCCCGTCGAGTTTTTAAAAAGAACCAATACAGCAAATACCTGGATCTCAATGATCGTTACTTTCCTCCACTATTGCCCTCACAGATGTGACTCAAATTCCTTTTGCATATAAAGGATAATTACGGACGGTAAAAGAACTGCTGAACTTTGGTCTATGATTTTCCTCTCTTATGTTTTTCTCTATTGACCCTGATGATCATGTGATTTATTGGCTGTATTTTTGTTGAAAAAAATTCAAAAGTAAAGTTAAAAAACTACTAATAAGTTAAAGTTAAAGGAATTAAGGTAGAGGCCCCATTGTTTTTGAAACCCTGTGTTGCCATTATACATTTAAATGACACTTAGTCTGGCCCATTTGCCCAATAAAAGACTCCAATAGGGTCAAACTGACCACTAGGACCACAGCTGCTGGGATCAGCTAGGCACACAAATCCCTCGACTGCAGTTCGGTGGTGATTCAGGGACGATGTTTCCATCAACCTCACAAACTAACCCGAAGGAAATGTAAATGTTAGAGTGGGATCACTGTAAAACACAATTTTGTTTCCAGTAGTCTATATTTTATATTTAAGTTTAATCCATTACCTTTAAATCTTTAATATTTAGAGGAAAAGTCGTTAAGCTTTAATCAGACTTTTTTTCTGATAGAATAGTAGGTGAACAAATACCTGACTAAGGACATTACTGAAGCTTCTGTTCCATTTAGGTGCAAAGCCTTAATTTATGTGATTGGTAACATCTGTGTTCACTATTTCATGTCAAAGTGGCTGCTGAGAAAAAGGTCTGTTGGCTGTTGTTCCTTTACTTCTCTTATGGCCTTACGTCTTAACTAAAACACTGTGAATTGCCTTGTTGAAAGACACAAATTTGCCGGCAAATGAGACGCACTTAATTTTTTTAAGGTTTCCACTTCAGTAGGAATGAGCTGGCTTGCAGTCGACAGCTACAGACTGACGGTAAGAAAAGTGCACAAAATCATCAGTCTCATATTTTAAAGGTGTAACCACTTAAATAGAAACCCAACTAGTCAGGATGTTGTGTAAAACAAATAAAAACAGAATGTAATGATTTGCACATCTCGTACACTCATATTTTATTCAAAAACAACATAAAACATATCAAAAATTTACACCAGGACATTTGATTTACGTAAAATATTATCTGTATAAATAAATCTGCAAATTGTGGAATCATTTCAGAATAATGTTCCTTAATGTTAAAATACAAAGACTTCTACAGTAAATATATCATCAAAAGATTCTATGAATCTGGAGCAATCGGTATGCAAAGGACAAAGCCGAAAATCAATATTGGATGGCCGTGATCTTCAGAGACTCAAACATGGTGCATTACAAACATGCTGCTGTGGAAATCACTGCATAGGCTCAGGAACACTCCCAGAAATCATGGCCTGTGAACACAGTTTGCTGTGTCATTCATTAATGCAGATTAAAGCTCTACCATGTGTACCACAAGGTGGTCCAGTGAGTCAACGTAACCTTTATTTAACCAGCCAATTCTTCAAGAAAATATTCTTTATTGCAGAAGTCTGGCTAAGGTCAAACCCTCTCAAAGAACTTGAGGAAGCCTAAAGAACAGAAATAAACATCTAATCACATCTTCACAACCACTCTCAAAATGCCACTTCCTGGTGGTTTAGTTCCAATTGGCAAAGGGTTGTTTAAGAAGTGGCTTTAAAGTTTTTGCAGCTCTTCATCAAGCTAAGTTTAGTCTATTTTGTTATACTTTGTGTTTAACATTTTACCTGCTGTGACTAAAAGGATTCATAGCTTTTGGAATAAATGAAGAAGAATAACTGAAAAAAAAAAACAAAGTAGTCCCAAAAAGAAAAGATTTGTGCTTAAAGTAAAATAAAAACTGAAATAAAAATATTTAATATTTATTGATAAATATTTCATCAGCTCAAAACTGACTCAACATATAAATATGTTGTACCCTTCCCCTGTGCTGATTTTGAAGTATGTGCAAATTATCTAGTCTTGGTAGCTGGGGATCAGTCCGCCGGGCCTCGGGGCGGCCTTTGCCATGGGAGACCCTACCCTCACCTATGGCTACGAGCTGTGGGTAGTGACCGAAAGAACGAGAGCGCAGATACAAGCAGCAGAAATGAGCTTCCTAGGAAAAGGTCCCTGTCTAAAGGCCTGTCCCTTAGAGGTAGGGTGAGAAGTTCAGCAATCCGGGAGGGGCTCAGAATAGAGCCGCTGCTCCACCACATCGAAAGGAGCCAGTTGAGGTGGTTCGGGCATCTGACAAGGATGCCCCTGGGCGCCTCCTGTGTTCTGGGCATGTGCCACCAGGAGGAGGCCCTGGGGCAGACTCAGGACACGCTGGAGAGATTTTATCTCTCGGCTGGCCTGGGAACGCCTTGGTGTTCCTCCGGACAAGCTAGAAGAGGTGGCTGGGGAGAGGGAGGTCTGGGCTTCTCTGCTTAGGCTGCTGCCCCCGCGACCCAGCCCCAGATAAAGCGGAAGAAGATGGATGGATGGATGGACAAATTACCTAATTTGTGCTTTTGTCAGTTAAGCCTATTAATAAACTGCTTGTGTACAACACACAGAGCAATAAGGGCTCTGTTGTTAGCCAATGGCCATCCCTTAATCTTTAGTTTAATAATGCTCTTATTACAATACAACAAGACCTGAAGCTAGTGACCAAGCCCATAAAGTCATCAGGAAACTGGAATGTTTTCCTATAGACTTGTATACAATCACAGGAGTCGCCCCCTAGCTGGCAGTTAAGATAAATGCAGATTTAAGGCACTTCTGTGGCCTCACCTTTCAGGCCTAGAAGCTATGATCCAAGTACTGTTATTTTTTGGTGGGGTTGTTTTTTTTAGGCCACTGTTTACCAATGTTAGCTTATTTCATATTTTATATATAAATTATTAGCACTGTCTGGTTTTGATGCAACAGTCTCTTGATCCCAGATGATTTTTCTCTCGCGGGAGAGAACAAAGTCACTTTAAAATAATCGTGTTATGTTTGACAAAATAATAAACCACTCAAAGCCGTTAATACCTCAGCCATTTATTTCTTAAACATAAGAAAGAAGGGACTTCTCAAAGGTAAGAAAAATAACATTGCAATTTAAAATCAAGTGCACTTCAACGATGTCTCGCTCTATAATAAGGGAGCTGTCCCTTCCTACTGTGTGAAGTGAGATACACAAAAAACTCAAAAACATATCGTAAAGAATCGATCGTTTCCGTAAGGCTTTGGGTGCCGAGTGCCGTTACTGTTGTGATGCTTATGCTGAGATGACAGTGGTGGTGACAAATATATATGTACAGAAAGGTGACAGATTACAGGAAAAAATAAGAACATAAAGTGGCTTTTAAAGGTGTGGCAAGACTATGAGCTGCAAGAGTCGCTTCAATGCTCCTTGGCACTGGCATTTGGATGATGATGAGCCACAGTTTCCTCACATAATTTCCAAACCACTCTTTGTGCCCCGTTTATGGGGCTACTGTCATCCTGGAAGAGACGATATCATTAAGGGGACAAACTATGCCTGCAAAATGCCTCCAACAGCACAACAAAGCCACTGGATCCCCTCACTTTTCCTTTAATTTGCCACCGATCAGTATATATGTGCATATACCCATTAACAGCCAATACAACATCATCCCAACAACATCCTTTGCAACATCTGTACATATCTGTACAACAGAAATATGTGACGAGACTGTGTAATGGACTCCAGGAGGAGTCGGGCAGTGGGCTCATTTGTGCTAAAACTCTTGCTTTAAGCTGTTCATCAGGATGGGAGTGCAAAGTGGAAGAGAAATGATGACAGCTCTGCATGTCAGCGCCTTACCTGCGCCAGATGGTATTTGCAAGTCATTTCCGGTGTTTGTTTGAACGCCCTGAAGGGTAAGAGAAGGGAAGGAGTTTACTACATCAAGAAGCCAGATGAGTTTCCATGATGTAAGATATCGGCTGTCAGTCACAGAGGTCTTAAACATGGCAGCTTCTTGCCTTACAGAGACACGCCACACGGGACAGCGAGTTTGAGTGAAAATCGCAGGAAATTATTTGTAAGTCAATTTAAGGTACTTTTCTGCAATAATAAACACAACTACCTGGCTCCAGTCGAGTAATTTAACAACCCTCCATCCTCCTCTCCTCTCTGGTTTTAAAACGGGCGCTATGAATGAGCTGCAATTACAGTCTGGCCCTAGTCTGACTACCATTATACATGTGAGTGACTCATCCAAAAACAACACGGATAATAAACTCACTGGTTACACTGGAGAAGTGGGTCACACATTTCCTACCATAGAAAAAACCCTCTGAAATGAAAACAAACAAACAGCCTTCTTTAATGAAACTAAGAATAAACTTTAATCTAGATTAAAAAACTAAATGTTACTTTGAGGAGAAAATAAGTCAAACTTTTTTTTTTAATAACTCCCAAATATCAAACAATGTCCTATCTTTACACTGTAACACCCCAGTTACAGTAAAATGCAGCAATTCACAACGGTCTTAATGCCTTTTGTTACATACTCAGAATATAGAACCATATATATCAATATCAATGGCATTTCAACATTTTCGATAATACATAACACATACTCTATTACCCACAAAAAGATGCTGGTACTGTTTAAACAAACGGGTGCTTCAGATTGGCAATTCAGGGTTTCACATAAGGGGCAAAATAAATAAAAATGAAAAGAGACCTAGACAAACAACATGAGACTGGATTATAAATACTTACGATGTGTTAAAGTGGACCTATTATGCTCATTTCCAGATCCATATTGGCTTCTCTTCACTGGCTCCCTTCTCCTTAAAATCATTCAGTATCAGGGTTGGGATTCGCAATCAGATCCTACGGTATCTTATATCTGAATTATTATCTGAGTATTATCTGATTTAGACTTCTGCAGTGAGTCTTTTTAGAGGCCATGACATGAACTACTCCAGCGGCCGACATTGCTGGCAGCATTTATGGTTGTGTGTTAATTACCTTGTGGTTGTGTCCCAGTGTTTTAAATGCAGTGCCTGCCACAATAGGAACAAATAAAATATCCGGCATTTTTCCCTCCTGGCGTCACTACTCTTTGTTGTGGTCAGTATTTTTTCTCTTCAAAGGCAAAAATATTTATCCCTCAAGTTTTTCCACTTCTCTGTACATTCCCTCATGTCCATTCCAACAGGTTTGGCAGTACCCCTTCAGGAATTTGCTGATATTTGCCCTTATATTGATACTATGATTATTATTCCTTATATTGAGGCAATGGTTATTATTCTCTTAATGACAAATTTTAAAATACAGATGCACCTGTGGCATCAGTTTCAAAATACTTGGACGTCCTTTTTGAGTTATCGGATTTAGAAGATTTTCAGAAAACTTGACCTCTGACCTTGATCTTGGGGTTGAGATCACTGAGATTTAAATTTGTCTGACACTTTTAACAGATACATCTATGGTATCAATTTGAAACTCCTAGGTTGCCTTTTTCTCAACTTATTACATTCACAAACTTGGGTGTCCACACCGCCTGCCTGGCAGGGTGATGACAATATCCCATCGGCGTTTTACGGCTGAGTGGTAACAGTACTGGACAGGCCAATCGTGGTAGTTGTGGGCCATGTTTATGGGACTTGTAGCCTCATTTTTAGGGTTAGGGTGTAGGTTAGGTCATAGGGTTTCAGAATATTTGTAGATACGATGAAGCATAAATCCCCAGTTATTTGTGGTCCCTAAAGTTTCTAAAAGTTGAATGGGAGCCATTCAGCTAAGGAACCTGCACATTGGATTCAGGAGACAGAGGACCTCTCTTCAAAGTTTCCTTTTGGAGAAAGATAATTGGCATTGAATAAGGTGACCCTTAACGATGTCCTGTGTGTCTCCACGCCACAACTGCATGACTTTAATTTTGATTTTGTCTTTTGTGTTTTGTTCTGTTTTCTCTCTTCCCCCCCACGAGCCAGTTTCTTCCTATTAAAAGGGAGTTCTTTCTCCTCACCATTGCTGCTGCTCAATGTTGAGGCTCTCTCACTAATATTGCAGCCAATATTCATCTTAATATATAAAGTACCTCAAAAGAATTGTTGCTGTGAACTGTAGCTATATAAATACAGTCTAAATTTAGTAGATTAGCTTTGCATAATTCTCATTCAAAACAGTCCATATTTACTTCATACTGAGCCTCGATGCAGCCCCTCCATTTGTCTTCTGTTTGCACTGAGCCATTTTAGCTCTCTAACTGTAAGTTGTAAAATGAGCATGCATCATTGTTATAGTACTAAAAAAATTTAAAAATACATATGCATAATAGGTCCACTTTAAATAATTAAAATTGGTGTGCAAACCAGTAGATTTGTTGAACAAGCAGGTGGCAGTGTTTTTTTCTTTTACAGAACAGTGTTTAAGCCAGCAGTGTTGCCATGATAAAAACTCTCTGTTCACATCATTGCATCCAAAAAGTCATTTCAGTTGCATCAGAAAATCAGTTTGGGCAACCACAGAGTGCTTTGAAAACCCTCCATGAGTTACCCGATAAGCAGGTCGGTGTAGGCAGTTGATGCTTTAAAGTACGTACCCTCATCCTGGAATGAGCTGAGGACATTTATACCAATTCCCAAATTTAAAGAGGTACCAAACCGTGTCTTGTTGTTGCTTTTTGTGTATTCAGAAGGAGGGCAGTATTATAGAGCAGATCCAAACAGTTGCATGAGTGAAACCCCAGGCCATCTGAATGATGGCAAAGCCAATCATCTATAATATAAATTGTTTTTGTCGCGTATGTCGCTTGGAACTGACAATTTAAACACATAATATAGCCGTATATCTGTACTACCTTTTCATTGACAATAATGGTGGTGTGGGGTTCATGATGAGGTGATGGGAATGAGTGGTATGACGCATTTACTAAATTATACTTAAAGGTCGGGAATTTGAACTACTGCACCCGATTTATCTTGCCACAAGAGGAAGCAGCGTTTGCAAGATGTGAAATCAAATGCTTTGCTTAAAACATTTTCACATGTATAAAAATGGCCAAATGAGAGGGCTCAGAGTCAACTGGAACAACCTGCGCATGAACCGCAATCACAAGCGCACTTATGTTCTCGCTCTGCAGGGTTTGTCCTCGGTTTTAACTCCCTGTGAGAACATTACCTTCTCTGACTTTTCCTCCTGGCCAATAATGAGTCAGAGGCCAGAGCAGCACTGGACATTTCAGTGTATGTTTTGGAATCAGCACAAACACATGGCCTTTAAAATGTCTCTGCTGGCTGTATATTTGTAGACTCATGTACTCTTTACTTGCACTACATGGAGCAGGAAGGTGCTTTTTCCTCATTATTAATCAATCTGAGAATTGTTCTCCTGATTGATCAATAGGTTATTTGGTCAATAAAGCCTCTGAAAAAACAGTGAAAACCGAACTTTGTAATTTCCCAGAGCCAAATTATCATTAACAGTCCAACAGCAGAAGATATTTTACTTTAAGACATAAAAAATGTGCTGGAGCAGTCAAATACTTTCTTGAAAATTTCATTTTCAAACAAGTAAGTGATTAATTTGGGTAGACTTCCACTGCTTGCTTTGAAATATGAACATTTAATGTGAGACTTTAATCTTGATCTGCTTAATGTACCTAAAATTATAAAGAAAAATATAAATGTAAAAGCTGACTTATTAAATGGCGCACTTTGCTTGACTGCTTTGTGCTCGCTTTACGTAAGAGGAGAGAGCAACAAGACTACAGATCTGCAAGGTCTGAACGTCTGAAAAACTAGGACCATAAAATATCCAAGTCCAGCCACTCAAGGTGGATCTTTAGTTTTATATTAAATGCCTTTTGTCACTTTTCAAAACCTCCCTTTAGTTTCTGGACATGGATCTTTTATGCAATATTTTTGGTCATATTTTTTCCATTTTCTTTCTTTTTTCATTCCATAAGCACAAGTGGTTTGAGGGACACCAGACGTGATCCTGTTATTTCCTTTCACCTAAAAATATTCCTCTCACTAACACTCTCATCCAAACAAACCCATATATCGATCCTAAAGCATCAAAAGCGAGAGATGGAAATAATGCCAAATGAAATGGGTGATGGGATGAGTCCATCTTTGGATGGTCACTTGCGTCTAATGATGCCACCTGCATCTTGCTGTATTTAATGAATCCATTTGCACTGATATGAAGACGTTACGCTGTACAAAACGCTACTTAGATACAATGATTACATGCCCCAGTATCCTGGCTACACCAGGAAAAAAAAAAAAAACCTGCCATCATAAGCACGTTTTGCACAATTGCGATATGAACTACCACAATTACACAGAACAATTTACATGCACATCATATCCAAATATTAATGTGCATGTAATTAACAGAAAGAATGAAAGCGCTACATACAAGTAGAACATGTTATATAAAGACGATACTGACATTACCTACACGTTATAGACACATTGCTCATACATTCATATATGTCAACACTTAAATATGTATATACAGTATACATGTATATATTTAAATGTATACAGATATATCAAAGGAGGAATAAATAGTGCCATTAATGAGGTGAGAACCTAGTTTTCCTCTTCCTCTCTTGCATGACAACAATCCTGCCAACATGACATTTAGTTCACGAGTCTATGCGTGTCTGATCTCGCTCGTGCGACTTCTCTAACTTGAGGACTCATGTGGTGCAAGAATTCACTCCATCGCCATCCTTCCTGGCACTAGGTCTAGTTTACAGTATTATGCCCAGTATTAAATACAAAATGTACTGCTGAACTAAAGTTGCCTATATGTAACAGCTACTGCCTTGTTAGTCATATAAATGTGATTACATTCTATATATCGGATGGGGTATTGACATATATTGCAATGCTTTAGTGCACACAAAACAAAACAAAAAACAACAAAAAAAGGCGTTGTGATCTAATTTGACCCTGTGTGTGTATTAGTTAGCGTATGACACACACATTTAGGGGTGAGATAAGTGACATGTTGTGTGGGGACCTCTGTGTGGATGAAACAGTGGTTTTGGGATTCTGAGTGAATGGTTGTGTCAGGGAATTGGCAGTGTGCAACTCTCTGGTGGCGTGATGGCTGGATCTTTCTGTTGAAAGCGGGTGGCATCCCATCTGGCTGATGCATTTGACAGTTAAAACAACAGGCCCCTAGTTTGAAGGTGGCAGAGTAAACAACAACATCTTAAACACCTCTGAGCAGAATATTCATAACCCACTTTCTCAAACCCAAAGTGCAACAGTAACTATTTTGCCATCTTTAACTGAAGAACCTACATTCACATGCAACAGCCTTGTGTGTTACCTTTATATTATCCAGAAAAATATTATCAAAAAAATAGAAGCTCCTGATACAGGTGCAGAAATGAGGTCATGCCTTGATGTGTAATGCAGAGAAACACCACCGGAGGGCAGTCTCTACAGGGGAAATTATCGTTTCAGCTCAGTAAGTTTAAAGGAGGCAAGTGCAACTATAACTAGTAAATTGTTTGGGAGTATTTTAGCCTTGTTGATAAAGATAAGCAAGTTACGATTTTCCTCTAAGAACAAGAGGTCGTGCTGCTGGGTTTCGGAAAAAATCATAATCCCAGTTAGTTATTTTCTCCATATTGAGATCATGATGATGACTTAACATGTAACAATACATGAAAATTATGCAACCTGCAGTGAATCACTTCTTAAAACACATTTTTATACTTTGGCTTTAGTGTGATTCCATAACTGGATTCCCTTCTGGTCATCGTTTTGCTTATCGCCCGTTTCTTTCTATGTGACTTTAATATGTATTGTGTCAAAGCACTTTGTAAACTATTTTTTAAAGGCAAGCAATGTGCTGAAAGACAAAGCAAGAGTTACTGACAAACAACATACCGATTATGGTATTTTAAGAACATTTAGCAACAGTGTATTAGGGCTACTGCGAGTGTGTAAGGGGCTTGGTAAGGATGTTTACAATCTGAGAAAAAGTCCAAAATCTTCAAGATTATAATCATATTCATAAATTCAGGAAAAAAGGACAATTTATTATTTTACAAAAACATACAAATTCATGAGAAACAAAGGCAGATACAAGTTTTTTTCTTGTAAATTTGTCACATTAGCCTCAATTTTATTTTTTGTTAACCTTTAGTGACCCTAACATGCTGTTGCAGTCTCACAAATTTGAAGATTATCAAACCTAAACTTATTTTTAATAAAAATGTTATTAAAAAAAAGAAAAGAAAAGCCGTCCTCTGGCTACAAACATACTTTAAAACCACTCACATGTGCCCATTACTGGGAATGACAATAAGCTCATTTCAAATTGAAGGCAAAGCATTTCGTGTTTTTAAGCAGATATTTGATCCAGCGTTCTCCTCAGATTTCTGCATCTACTGTACTGAGCTACTATCCAGCTGCAGTGAACACTCATCATATCAGAGGCTAAATATGGCTGCTACGTGAACGCCTCACGCAGCTCATTATTTTTAATTGGCTCGACCTTTTCCTGTTCTCAGCAGCGGCGGCTCTGTCGACAACCGTTTGCGCTGCAGATAAATTTCATGCTACCGCTGTCAAACAAGAGGCCTGAGTCTGTTAACTGAAATGCTACATTGTGTATTAGGGTGCATTAGAGTGTGAGTCATCTGTGTTTGTGCATTAAATCTTTCTCCCAAAGGGAAGAATTAAGGATTTTTAGGAATCGACTGGGCGTCATTGTTTTTTTTTTTTTAAGATTTAATGGAATGTGGGATTTTCCTTCATCCACTCTGTGTTGCATCATTTGTGGCCATCAACTTTCAATATTTAGGAGTTTATTTGGAATTATTTAGAGTACTCCTACTGGCGGAGACATCACTGACATTCCCGGCAGTGGTAAACTATGGAATGATTGTGCTATAATCTTCTATTTCCTACAAGTTTGTAAGTAAAATTTTAAAATCAGGGCAAAGATATCAAATTTCTAAGTTGTGGGAATTGAAGGAATGCTTTAAGTAGCTCAGAAATGAGCGGAATTCAGAGCTTTAGGGTATGAGCAGCAAAATCTGTGTGAAGTTATAAAAAGGGGGATGGGTTTTTTTTGAGATCACACTCTTTGTAGAACAGCAGTGAGAGACATGGACTAAAGATTCAAACAGAACAGCATGTACATGTGCAAGTGTGTGTGAACACGAGGAATAATTCCACAGATAAATGCATGTATGCTTCAGAATACCCCTGATGTGTTAGATGAGTGCTGGTTTGGTCAGGGTGGGGTCAGTCTACCAGAGCAGCTGCAGCCAGTCAAAGGCAGGGCCGGAGGAGACGGGCAGCACCTCTCCAGCTTTCACTTGGCCTTTAATTTGCCCAGGTCCCCGTTCAGCTTGCCCTCCTTTGCCAGCTTCTCGTTGAGTTGGCACAGTTGGCGAAGGAAGCCGTCGTTAGGACCGATCTCTCTCTTGTGCCGCACAGTGGCCACCGCCAGCCGTGCATCCATTCCGTGGCGCAGCATGAGGTAAGCAACAACCATGGTGGGGGAGCGGCTGTAGCCTTCTCTGCAGTGTACATACACCTTCCCTGGAGGACACAGAGAACAATAAGATGAAAGCTGTTTATGGTGCGAGGCTGGTTTCACACACACACACACACACACACACACACACACACACACACACACACACACACACCACAGAGAAATAGTTTTCATAGAAGAGTTTTCTCAGGCCTCATTGTGGCTCCTCTGCTATCTGTTATCCACTGCACAGGAAAAAGCATAAACTAGTACATCCTGTAATTGTCACTCTGTAAGAGCGTCAAAAATATCTGTTCCCGGTATGACACTGGAAGAAGCATATAAATGAAACTTGTCGGATTGCCCTGGCTATCTTTATTCATGAACAATGACCAGCTGTTACAGAAGGCTGCTTGACTGCCACAAAAACTATGATCACAATTATGACAATTATTCGTGAAGTCATGGACTTACTGATCTGTGTATATTGTCTTGATTGGGATTTCTTTGAACTTCCTCTAGATAGATCTTTTTGACTGAAAACTCTTTTAGCCATCTTTGCTTGAGCTAAACTAAACAGCAAGTGAGTTTGAGATTTAAGAGAAAGCTGTGCGCTTGAGTTATTAATTAATCCAAATATATTAGAGTGGCTATCCCTTATATGGCCACCGTAGGCACAGACTGTGACAAATTAAGCCCCTCCCATTAACTGTTTAAACATATAGTTTGTGAAGAACAGCCAATCAAAAAAAAAAAGCTGGCTTTTCAGAAAGGAGGCAAAATAGTTATTCAGGTAGAGAATGAAGTAAACGTCAGTACAAAGGGCCACCACAAGATAAGTAAGGATTAAAATAAACCATGAATCATGCAAAGCTACTCTAGTCGAGTCCAAGAATACACATTTGGAGTTTGAAATTAACACAAAAAGTCCCCTTTAATGCAAATCATTAATCAAATCAAATATATTGTGTCTATTTCTTTTTATTTCTCACATGTGGGGCATTAAATTAAGATAAGTGAACATTCAACACAGAAATAAAACATGATTTTTCAGGTTCGTATCAAGTATACAGTGTCCTTAAAGCACCAGAGCACAAACAGGAGTTTTCCCTCGTGGTAATTTTGAGACTGCAGGACAAAAAGTAGGAGGTGGAAGAAAATGAGGAAATGAAGCAGAAACAAATAAATAGAAAATAAGAGATTGTTAGAGTAGTTGGAAAACATATGCTGTGACCAAGATTGTCCAGCAAAGCAGCTTCTCTTCTAGAAGCTGCATATATAAGACATGACCTTTGCTGCAGACTCAGCAAAGTCAATCATCTTCCACCAGCTGAGGTGAACCCACATCCTGACCACAGCAAAGAATCAATGTCGTCTTTGTGTGTGCAAAATACATATGTGTTTACTGTTCTGTATTTTTATGTTCATGCCAGTTTGTGTGTTTGTGTTCATTTTTAAGGTGTACCTTTGTCTAACTTACACTTCCATTACAGACTGGCTAAAACGCCACAGGGGATTTAACTTGGCAACCTTCACAGAGCAGCTGATGTGCTCGGCTCAGGTCAGATCTGCAGATTCTGCACTTTATTTGAAACCCAACACCTCTCTCTGTCTCTACTATAGTTTTATCCCCAACATCTTTCTCTCCCTCTTCTCTCCTTTTTCTTTGACTGGCTCCTCTCTCACACTCGACCGGGAACACTTCCATGCCAATGACGTGACCTCTTCAATACCAAATCACCATGTCTGCCACAGATCAATTCTAATTCCACTGTATCCTCTTGTTAGACACACACGCTCTTTGGCTCTCAACTCACTTGCTCCATCACTGTCCAGCTCCAATATCCCTCAGTCTTTACTGTGTCTTGTATTTTATTGTTTTATTAGACTTAATAGTCTTATCTGCATTTGTTGGAAAAACATTAAATTCTATCCACTGTTGGGCACTCTTTTCCTCAACAGGAGTTGTCAGTGGGTGCAGTCAGCATCGTTCTCTCAATGCTGCGGTCCTCCTGTAGACCAAGCTAGCAGCATTAGCATCCAGTCCGAACTGCAGCACTGGCACAGCTATGTACACTTTACACCCCCTGACTGACCCTTTCTCCCATTCTTTGTCTATTTGTATACTATTCATCCACCATATTGACAGTTGGCACTGGATCTACAGAAACAACATACGATTTAATTACAAAATATTTAAACAGTTTTCTAATCATGTTCCCTTCACTACAACATTAAAAAAATATTTACGTTAATGCTCCTCATGGGGAACTGTGCATGTTCCCCACGAGGACATGCACAGTATATTAATCCACGCATGCCTCCACCACTTATGAGAGTAATTTTATGTTTGTAGTGACAATGCTCAGCTCTATGGAAAAATGTGCCTACCAATTTCTCAGGGCCCAAATAAGAAATGATCAACTCCTGGAGTTTATCTGAAATCATATCAGGAGCTAGGAATTTTGACGTGGGAAGAAACTTCCACATTTTGCATATCTTCAAAAATCTAACTAAAATGAGAAAAACTCATCCCGATGCTCTTAGGAAAATATAAACGAATTCAGATTGAGCTAACCTTCTGGATCCAGGCACTTGATTCATGCATGGTGCAAAAGTATGGGCATGTATTCATTCCATCATTTTGACCTTAAAGGTTCAGCGTACTGTTTGATGGAGCTGCAGAGGACAGAACGATTAGGCAGAATTTTTAAAAGTTTTTCCAGCAGGATGCCTCCTTTTTATTGGCAACACACTCCAAATTTGTTGAACTATGGCGTTCAAAAAAAGCTCCTAAACTATGTCCTGCCACTTGCTCGGTGCAGCAACACATTTTCATTGCATTGCATGAGCCACTGAAAAAAAAAGCATCAGGCTCTTAAGGCTCCTCTCAGTGCTTCAAACGTGATCTGCAAGAAACTACCACACCCAAATTAAAAACAACTAATCAAAGCAAGGAGGCATGTCCGATACAGTCTCAATGGCTGCTTACGCAGACGGAGCAGCACCCTCCACCCCCTGCATGCCCTCAATTTGTCAAGCTAAATAACTATAAATAATAAATTAATAATTAATTTAAAAAATATAAATTTTGTCTGAAATATACATTCCAGCATAAATTATTATCTATCATACTTTAATTCTAGATCATGAATCCAACCATTTCTCCATATCACCACAGTTGATGCCGTTAAATTACTTTTTATCATTGCAGTTTTAATGTGTTGGTTTTCTGTTGATTGGAGGAAAATACACAGATCTGCACACTGTAACCTTGTGTCTTCATTATGGAAAACTCACAGGAGCAATGCATTAGTGCAGTTCCTCATTAAAATCCTGGACCTTGGACCTTTTCCAAGCTTACAGCTGAGGGTCACAAAATGTCACACTTAATGTGGCACAATGCACAAATGTCAAACTGCGGCAAAACCACCAAGCAGAGATGAGGCATGCTAAATCTCTTATGCGCTCTTCTCCACAGGAGCTCTTCATTCTTGATTTACCACAGCACTGTAGTGACAAAAAACATTCGGGGAATTAAGATGCTAGGTTTCAGATTTGAAACAGCTGCTTTTTGATTCGTACTATTCAAAATTCAAAGTTTGCACACCTGAAATGGTGTATAGTATGCCTGACCTAGAAGTTGTATGAAAGTCAAGACTCAGTTCCCTAGTGATTTCTGAATCTTCCCCTTTCTTACAACTTTTTACTGCAGTACTTGTTCTGTTCTTTTACACAGTCCCAAAGTATTACAGCACCCGTTTAACATCTTACAGGTGTGCTACACATCAAACATTGTGACGATGCTGATGTGCAGGGATGTGATCGGGTAATGGAATATGGAGCAGGACTCATGAGTGTGTCAGATTTAGCGAGAGGTGTTCAGGGCCACTGTGATTATCTCCTGTTGTTGCTTTAAGATCCACAACAATGAGGAGTACTAAGACTGGAGCTAAGACTGGATCTTGTTAGACAAACAACAAGAGGAACTTGTTTTCATGTCTCAACTTTTGGAGCAAATTACTTTTAAGTGTGAGCTATTGAAGTAAGAAAGGCATAGTGCTCCCATTTGTTAAATAAATATAAATATCCAGCATAAGGGATACATTTCTTTGAAGTGCTGGATATATTTAGGTGCTAGTTTTACCCAAGTTGTGGGGTACTAACACATACTAATACTGATGTAATGTAATATAGTCAATCAATATATTCTCTACCTGTGCATATATAAGCATACAGACTTCCTAGCACCATATATAGTCAATAGAGGGAAAACAATGGGCTTTTTCAAACATCGAGTGGGTGTTATCTCTAGTTATGGCTCCTGAACAGCTTTTTAGGACCTCACTAAATAAAAATAGTCTGAAGAATGTAGAAATGATGTATTATTTTTGTGCTTTCTCAAGAAACCGACTACAAATTTGGCAAACAGCTATTTAACAGAATTTGGTGCTTTTCTTTGCTACACAAGACTGTAACGGGAAGTTCTTTGGTCTCTGGACAGCTTGTAGTCCACAGTTTAATGCACATAAGCGTAAGTAAGAAAAACATCCCACAGTCTGTCCTTCTTTTTTTCCCCCCCCCATTTACAAATCAAGCAAAAAATGTCAACAACGTTATATGTGCAAAGTGTTAGGATGTCCTACCACTTTGTACACTTGTTGCTAAGTGGTAGATCACTTGCACACAAAAGTTTGGTGGCCATTATTTTAATATTCTACTAAAAATGAATACATGTATTTCAAGAGTTAACATTTACCTCCTTAGTCCAATAGATAAAACATAAACGACAAAATAACCCCACCTTTGCCATTATTGTGCGCTAGGGCCTTGTCGATAAAATCAGCCCCTTCCTCAAAGAAGGCACTGAGGTCGAACTGCTCTGTGTCATTGGCCTGGATGCCATGATAGGTGATGCCCGTGCCAGCGTAGAAATCCGCACTGGTGTTGACATGCATGAAGGAGGTGCCCTCTGCTACATTTAAGACGTGTGTCACACCAAGTTTCTGCAGACGCATTGTATTCTGAGCGACAAACCTGCAAAGGCGAGAAGAGGTTAATGATCAGAGATGAAAAAACTGATCAAATATGCTTACCAGTCTACAATTTAATTTCAATTTAGAGGCACTGGACTAAACTCACAGAGCCTCTGAAATTGAAATAAAATGATGAATGTGCAGACACAGAACAAGACATCTGAGACAAATAACAGTACTAACAGCACCTGACAGATACAGCAAAGCAGTGTGTCAGCACAATTTTTTTTTAAAGTGGTATTTTGACAAACAGGTCGCAATAACACCACATGCAGCACACAGTGTTTCGCTGCATCTGTTGATGAACAGCCAAATACTGAGTATCTGCTGGGAGACAAAAGCAGCTCCCTCGTACTGATTTTTCAAACAAAAGTCACATTAAAGTGCCTTTTGTCTCAACTTATTTCCAAAGTAGAGTTCTCATGACTCGAGGTCTAATTACAAATATCAATCAAACCTATAATCGCTCAGCAACTTTTTTTCCAGTTTAACCCTGAAAGACCCAACCCTTCAAAAAACTAGCCAGAAAATTCAGATTTTTTTGGAACTGAGATGTTTATTAACCCTTATAACAAAATCCACAATTTATTTTGCTATATCATGTTGTGTATGATATATTTTTATTGTATATTTATTATATATTTTCTGTATCGCATAGAATACATTGGGCATTTTTTGCAACTTTTTGTTAACAACAGTGTTAATTTTAGTTTTGTCTATAACATTTTGAAATTATGTCAAGTATTGATCATGTTGATGAGCTAGAGGTCTCAGAAACTCATATCAAATATGATACAACGGGCATTATAGGGTTAAAGTGCTTCAAAGGTTACAGATGGTAGAAGTGAGAAAAGAAAAACAAATATGCAGTGATAAATTTAAAATAAAATTAAAAAATTTAATTTAATAATGTAATACAATTCACTAACATGCCATCATTCATGTTAACGGTAGCACATGTGCTCATTAAACACTAAAGTAACACAGTTTCAGTTACCCTATATATTCATCTAGCTAACGTAAACTGTGTGGCCAGACTTGCACTACATTTTGAAGGTTTGGAATAATTGTTTTTGAAAAATAACCGCATTTATTTCAGGATTTCCTACAGAATCACAACAAGGACTCCTGTTACCAGCTGCAGTCCACACTACAGAATGAGACTCTCAGGTAATCACCACAACAGTGACCTGGTCAGTGTAATGTAAACCAGTGTTAGGCTTGGGCTAGCTACTGAGCAGTTTAAAACAAAGTGAAGTCAAGGTGATGGATAAAAAAAAACAAACTGCTAAACATCCTTGGGTGTCTGTTAAAATACTGCCTACATCCTGTGGGGCGCATGAAGCGCTCTAGTACGATTAATATATCTGAAATGTTTTAATTGAATGAATATTGGAATCATTTAGATCATTTATTTTATTTATTTCTCTTGAATATCTAAGTAGAGGTTCATTGTCAGTAAGCATTACTCCTATGTCTGTAACACATAAGCACAGCTTGTTGTACTGTGCTGAAAATAAGAAAAATAAGAAAATTTGGCTATTTGAGTGTCTAAAGCATCAGCCATTGTGAGTTCGATTATAGTCCCCCCCAAAAAGTCTTTTTTCTCAGTAATGGTTGGTTTTCATACAGCAGTGTGTACTACCCTCTTCACCAACCAGTCCAATCCAGCTCTAATGGGCACCATTTGAAACTGCTGAGGACCTATAAAGGTGTCCATTTTTCAGTCTGCAGACTCTGATGTATTTGTCTTTTTTATTTTATTTTTTGTAGGACAACAGACAAAAAGAACAATCTCTCTATTCTCAGACAGCTCTGCTCCAGTATTTTCACCTCCATCATCATTCACCCTACTTCCAGGAAACAATGAATCTGTTTCTGCTTACCTCCTGCTCTAATACACATCCCCTTTTAGAGCTGCGTTATTGCACATTAGACCCATACAAAGCAAACAGTCCCACACAGCTAACAAACCATAACAAAGCAGTACAAGCTTCTGGCTGCTCCAGCCTGCCTGGCCCAATGCCTGCATCCACATCCAACCTGGCCAAAGGCACTGCCCATTGATTCTGAACAAAAAACCTCCTTGCGTATTTAGGTTATAAGTTGTATTCCAAGTTTATGGTACATTTAGTGCCACTAATTGCACATAATTTTTTAAAACAAAAGAAATTGCACATAATCGAAAACACAAAAAATAGAAGAAAGAAATAGAAATGGAGAAGAAAACTGGAAGTATATAAAAGCTGTTGTACAATGATATGGCAAAGTTATGATGCAAGCAAAATATATGTCATTAAAGATTACTATATTTATAAGATGACTGCTATTTCTATCTGCAGTCATTTGTATTTGGTGATTTAGTGATGAGTGGTTGGAGGTGGGTTTCAAAGTAGCTTGCAGAAGAACCAGCACCTATGGGCATAGCAAAGCAGTGCAAATAGCACATCTTATGTTAGATTTGTCAATGGGATGCAATGAAACCTATCAGCTGAGCCATGAGCGTATGTTAGCTGGCATTGAGAGCAGCTGATCTAACAAGATCACAGCTAGGCATGGGACATGAGGAGAACTGATAACACCAAAGCTTTGGTAAGCATCTGGACAAACACTGCAGCTACAGTATAAGTATTTATGCAATGTCACTGATTCTTAGAGAAAATTTTTGTGTTAAGGAAGTTTTGATTTTGGACTCAAGTGCATGGCACGGGGTAGCGAAAAAAAACAAAAAGAGAAAAAAGTAGTTAATACAAGAATCTAAAAATACAGAAAGTCCAACAGCTAAAAAGAAGTCCAAAAAATAGGTACAGGAAGCCGGAAGAAAATGTGGCAAAGTTAAAGGGAAAGCCAGGTTTATAAAAGTACACAAGGGTGAATGATGTTAAGAGACAGGTGGGAACAGGACACAGGTGGATGCAATCAAACAGGTGAAAGTAATGACAATCACAAAAGAGGGAAAAGAACAAATGCATGAATTAAAACCAAAATAAGGCACATCTAAACAACTAAACTTCAACGTAAAACAGGAAATTACCTGGAGGAACATGAAGACTACCACAAATAATATCAAATATACTTTGAAATTAGTGTGAGCTGTTTTGGAGGCCAGACATAATTTTTCATTGGTCATAAGTCTGCTAAAGATTACTTTGTTTGATATTATGGTGATAATTTGACATGAATAATCATTAACTTAATAAGCCTGATGCAGTTCTTGAATTTCATTTACCCTGACCTTATTTTTAAATGCAAATAAAATTAAAAACAAATAAAAGGAAAAAAAGAGGTGGTTCTTGACATTGTGGTGTTTTTATGGCTATAAACACAGCCTGCCAGCCTGCTGCCATCACTAAATGTCTGGAGTTACAGATGGGGGGCGAAGAAAGCCCCAGGTGGAAGCTCGCGTGCCTTAGGAAATCTGCACAGTGACACTGGAGTGAAAATGGGTGAGAGACTCTGAGAAATCCAGAAATAAAGGCACCAGTCAATTCTCCACAGATTAAACTTTGTGAGTAATAATTCTGCCTTGGTATGTGTTGTTTATAAAGTTTTTTGTTCATATATCTGCAGTTTTATTTGCATACACTTATGCTTAAGACATATTTCTACTACACTGCAATGGACAATAAAGTTTTCTCATTATGATTTTAGACATAGCTTGTTAATTGAATTCTCTCATTTAGTTATCTCATCTGGAGCTGAACTAAACAGCAAGCATGTTTTTAGGTGCTTCTAGAAAGAGGTGAAATTGACACTGTAAAGGAAAGGGGTGTACTTTATGTATAACACATAGAAAAGTGAGGGATCCATAGCAAATAATAATGGATTGGATTTATATAGCGCTTTTCAAGGAACCCAAAGCGCTTTACAATGCCACTATTCATTCACTCTCACATTCACACACTGGTGGAGGCAAGCTACAGTTGTAGCCACAGCTGCCCTGGGGCAGACTGACAGAAGCGAGGCTGCCATATCGCGCCATCGGCCCCTCTGGCCAACACCATAGGCGATAGGGTAAAGTGTCTTGCCCAAGGACACAACGACCAGGACAGAGAGCCCGGGGATCGAGCCGGCGACCTTCCGGTTACAGATACGCTTCCCAACCCCCCTGAGCCACGGTCACCCCAAAATAGGACAAGAGTGACAGTTTTATCAAGATCATTTAATTAAGATCAATAATGACCTCGTAGCCTGCCTTACAAATACTATTCATGATATAAGTTTATATATGTATTGTTTTTTATTTTAAAACCATTTTCACGAATCTGTAAATCGTTCACTCTGACAAAGCTTTACTATACAGGCTTAACGTCAACGTGAGCCTGGAGGCAAGGTGAGGTGACCCTGGGCAGCTCCCTAGAGGTGGAGGCTGCAAAACCCAATACCTAACAAGAAATTCTGCTACAATGTTACTTTGCAACCAAAGGAGGAGGGATGAAGCAGCCTGTCTGCTAGCATCGTAGCTACAGGGCAGAGATTCAGAAATCCAGGCTACACATTAATAATATCTTCATTTCATTCACAAAAAGTCTGTGTATATTTAGACTAAGCTAGTGCTCATAAATGATTCAATATGCATGCACACTATGAGCACTTCAATGCAAAAAAAAGTGAAGCAAGTAAAGCGTAGGCATGCGTATCTCTTTGTGTGTAAAGGGTAGTAGTGTGTAAAGGCCTATACTGTACTTCTACACAACACAATGCAGAGGCACAGTAGGTTCAACTGGGTTCACAGCCGATGGCTTCCTTCCTATTTGCCGGGCCTGTCCCGGCCTCCTTACCCTGGGATCTGCAGTCCCAACACATCCATTATTAAAGACCAGCTTCACAAAGAGCCAGAGCGTTTCTCAAAGCAAACAACCACACCTTAAGTCCCTAAGCTGCACACCGTGGTTTAAGAGTGCTGACTACAACTGAACTGAAAACATTGCAAGCTGGCAAAGTAGACTCATAATCCATTTATGGATGCAAACATTGACTAGTTCAATAAACACAGGTGCTGCTCTAGTCAACATCTTGTTTATTGAATTAGTGACTTTAAACTTTTACTGAGTGTCTGCTGTATACATTATTTTAAGTGAAAGAACTGAATAAATCAGCAGAAAGACTCAACAAATGCAGATGTGTGGTCAAAACACCAACGTAGGAAAGAACTGTCACTCCAGTTGAGTTCAAAGACTAAGAAAACTTGTATTAATGGGCAATTGGCAGGTAACTACAGGCAAAATAATTTCTTGTGATTGTGAAGTGGGCGGAATCTGAGAATTGAATGCAACTACCAATGAGAGTGAGGAATACTGTTAATTGACAAATGAACAGGTAATAAATAAGTTAGAGGGTTAAGTAGGAAACCAAGCGACTAGCTGTGAGCTTTAAAGTGATGCACAATGAGCGAATGTATGTATGTACAAAAAAAATATGAACTTACAATTTAATGGTCTGTTGAAAATGTTAAATCCTTACAGAGTACGAAAATGGGATGTTTTTTGGCAGCTGTATAAGTATCCCTGATTTTTCTATTAAATTAAAATAAAGAAGGGAAAGCAATGCTGTACATTTTCCCAACAAATGTCAGCATGAGTGACTACTGTATATCTTAAATGAACAGTTATTATGTAAATGAAACTGTGTCTTGACCTAAAAAAATTAAAATCTGACAGGCAACTGTATATCAAAGCCTAAAAATGGTTAATGGGTCCAATTCCTGAGGGTACCTATGATAAGAAAGTTTAATGAACATTTTCAAGGACAGATCTCTTTCTAATTTAAGTCGAGCGCCGTAAAAAACGCGTATGCGAGATGCACCACATGCTAGTCTTGTGTTAATAGATGCACTGGTTTTCATCCAATGGATTTCTACCGGCCAGCTACATAATTTGATTTATAACGAGGTACAACTAATGAGATGAGCAGGGAGGATTACTGGGTCCCAGAGGTGGAAACTGTGGACAAGGCATAGCCTTTAATCAACAATCAATACCGGCTCTCCCTGCCTGAGATATGTGTAATATCACATTATGTTACACTGTCCTATCAAGCTTTTCTAAGCTCTAAGATATGCTTTAAAATAAAATAGCTCAGTAATTACCCCCCACCGAAAACTCAAACCTAGTTTGTTCATCAGACATCAAAATCTCTTCGACAAAAGAAGTCATAAAGCTGAGAGCACTTTAGAGTCGCTCTTTCATGCTGACAGTTTTCTCTGATCAGCTTCAGCAGAGCGCAGGTCTGCCAGCACTTTGTTTGGAGACTTGGCCGGACAGATTGGCACATCCAGATTGATTGTGTTGTAGCACTGAGCTACAGTAATGTGCTTGTATTCTGTCCGGCTCGGCTCCTCCACCACTCTACTGGCAGTGATTGAACCCACAAGTTTCTTTGAGGCATCCCTGAATCTGTTCTCTCTACCACAAATCCATAAAGGTGGCATTAAGAGCTGCTCTGTAAAAGCTGGTATACATTACCACACAGCAAAATATATGCAAAAGAAACTAAATTTGTTTCTTTAATAGCAACAAAATTACACTTTAAACACATAAAGAGGTTTTTTGCAAATTAGCCCACTTTTCCATGCAAACTACACAAAACTGTGGCAATCTGGTAATGACCAAAGGACCATTATTGTGACCAGTTTCACCTAGAGACTGCCAGCAACCACTCACCAACCAGTCGAGGAATAAGAGTAACAACAATAAGGTGTTTAAGAGTAACTTTGCTAATAATGATGGCGCTAATAGAAGCAGTCAAACAGAAAAAAAATAGTAGCGCTGTTTTAACAGCACCCTCTTTTATCTTCAAGCAAATGCACCCCCCTCAGAGTGCACCCAAATGCTTGTTGATGGACCTGCAGAAGCTGGTGATAGCCTAGCATACTCAGGCGGATGGCGGACATGTACATGTCCATGCAAGTTAGTCGTGTTTAGAGTCCTTTGCTCACAGTGTACGTCTGCACAAGCGGCACTCCACTTTGGTTAGATCCTTAGGTTTACTTCTTTCATCTGGTTTAAAGCCAAAGAAATCCCAAATTGGCGACTTCATAATTTTTTTTAGTGCGGTCAGCGTTAACCCGCCGTCATCACGACTAATGCAATTAACAATTAACATCTGGAGCGCAGACTGAGTCAGAATCTCTGAAATGTCTCTGTCAACGTATTTCGGGCATTTTGTCCAAAGTTTGTTTGTTCTGCGCTCCAGATGGGTTGAGCACGTTAAAAAAATTGATTGCGTTAATCGTGATAGCCGCGTTAATGCTGCATTAACGCCTTAATGCTGACAGCCCTAATTTTTTGGGAAATTAGTTCGTCCATGTTTGGACTTCTTCTGTGTTGTAAACGCGCAAATCAGTCCCCCCATGATTACATTGCTCCGCCCATCAAGTCTGCGCATGCGCGAATATGTTGCCCATTGTCGATTACTGGACTGACGATTGCCGGTTGGAAAATTTTTTACATATCGCCCAACCCTAATTCACGCCTACAGCCAATTTCAAATTACAGAGGTACTGGAGAAAATCCACACATGCAGAGGGAGAGCATGCAAACCTTACACAGAAAGGTTCCAGCTTTCTGTTCAGGTGGATTCAAACCCAGGACCTCCTTGTTGATGGTGCATACAATTAATTCATCCATCCATCCATTCATCCTCTTCCGCTTATCCTTGTCAGGGTCACAGGGGGCTGGAGCCTATCCCAGCTGTCTTAGGGCAAGAGGCGGGGTACACCCTGAACAGGTCACCACTATGTTGCAGGGCTAACACATAGCGAGACAACCATTCGCACTCACATTCACACCTATGGGCAATTTAGAGTTACCAATTAACCCAATCTCACTAACTACATGTCTTTGGACTGTGGGAGGAAGCCAGAGTATCCGGAGAGAACCCAAGCAAACATGGGGAGAACATGCAAACTCCACAGAGAAAGACCCAGGCCTGGTGGTGTAATTGAACTCAGGAACTTCTTGCTAGGTAACAATGCTTTATTGGTAAATAAATTAAAATTTTGCCACAGGAGATGTTATAGTATTAATAACTGCCTCACAGCATGCAAACAACCAAATCAGGTAAGAAAACATTGGGGAATCACAGATTTGTGCATAAAATATTCATAAACTATGCATATGCAACTGGCAAGAATCAGTTCAGGATATTATCTGATATTGCTTTTTCTCACATGCAGCACACAGTAGGAGACAGTCCACTTTATCACTACTGGAAATACTATGGTTTAGGCAAGGGAGCTCTTAGGATAGAGCATGTAAGATATAAAATAGACATTTTAAATTCACCAGACTATAACTTACATTTGTAGTAAAGAACTGGCAGATTAAAACACATTAATGTAAATTCAACAGCCCCACATGCAGCTGTGTCGAATAAGGTCTGGAAAAGTTCAGAGCTGCGATGCGTGTATTGTAAAAGAGCTATTACAGGCAAAGAAAAAGCCCAAAATAGCAATACCAGTAGTGAGACGAGGACCGTCTCTGTTTATCTCTAGGTTCAGTGGGAAGATTTTACAGTACATCTCATACACAATCTGAACTGGCTTTACTGGAACACTGGGTAGTAAATTCCTAAACAGTCAGCATGTTCATTACAAAGCCAATAGCACCAAGTCAACAAACAACCATGGATTTATGGTTCAGCTGCAGACCTGTTTAATAAACAAATATACATTATACTCCATATACGCTGCATGTGTGGGTCTGTGTGTGTGTGTGTGCACAGCATCTCTTACAGGAAGAAATAAATTTAAAAAAAAAAAAACATACTGCTGCTATTAAGTTAATTCTATTACCTTTGTTCCATGATTTGATTATGCACAAAGAAAGCACTGGTCTGGTTTGTGCCTGTGTTCAGTCTTAGACGTTTTCCAATAGATGTTTACAATCAACTATTTAATGCACAGATTTGTATTTGCAAATAATTTGGTGTTGTGTTTTGTGAGAAAGACACATATATACGTCACATTTCTTTACAGAGATGGGAGATTACCTGATTAATTAGTTACCTGGCAGGAAAAATATTAAATATGAATTCATTTTCTGCAAGGAATGTGACACATGACCTCCTTTTAGTATCTTAGCTGCAGTCATTTGCAGTTTCCATTTGCCTTAGGTGAGTGTACTTGTTAACATTATAAGTAAACAAAGGAATTAATGCAATATAATTTTATTAACATAGCGCCAGCCTAAAGAGATATGCAGGAGTTTCCAAAAGATCACACAATGACATATGAGCAAACACTTGGTTATGGTGGGGAGCAAGAAATCCTTTTTAATAGGAAGAGATAAAATGTGTTTGACACTGCTGAATTAACTTATATATGACATGAATTGACTAGATTCCTGTTTATTCCTGTCTAAAGAGCATCTTCACAATTTAGACTAAGAATTCACATCTCTTTTTTTCCACAATTTGCTCTGAGAGAAAATGTTTTTCTTCTTTTCATATAATAAATGAAAGATGGGGGGTGGGGGAAGAGTGGTGACGGTTGCTGTGTTCCTGCAGCCCAGCGGGACTGAAAGGGGAGCGGCTTGATGAAGACATGGCAATGATACTAATGACAGAGAGGGGTTCATTGAGTAAAAACACCTCTTTAGTTTCGTCCTTCGTGTTCTGAATTCGTTGGTTTCCTCTGCTTTAAAGGTAAAGAGGATCACACGTAGATTTGTAATAATAATAACAATAATAACAATAATATTATATATTGACAGATAGTCGTGATATTGCAGTGTTATCTGTTAATCAACTGTCTGGCTAATGACTTCTCCCTGAAATCAGGCTAGTATTTCGGGGTTATCTGTTGTCAACAACCGCCTGTCGCTTCCTCCATGATGATGACAGCGGAGGACCACCGCTCGTGCGCGCGTGCTAACCGACATGCGACACCGTTGTCATGGTCGCGTCTGGTCGGAGTATGTGTAGGGAGTGTCTCTCAGTGTCACAACGGCATCACGTGTTAGATTCAATGGTGAATGACTCACGCGTTACCGATGTATATCCTGGGAAAGACCTCGTTGAAGTGCTGTGTCGGTAGGCTGTAAAAGCCGTTGCCGTCGGACAGGAGCTCGTTGAGTTGCTGGACGGTCACCTCGCAGGCTGGAACTTCAGCCGGTGGTGGCGGCTGCGGCTGTTGATGCTGTTTCGTAGGACTCAGGTGTTTCTTCATGGCTCTTCTTCTGCTCGCAGAGTAATGTTAGAATTTAGCCAGAGCCCGACTCGTCAGACTGGTTTCGTTGTTCAACAGCATTTTATACGTCCGCGTGTGAGTCGTGCTCGCGCTGTCTTCTTGTCTCCAAGGTGTCTGAGTCTGAAGAGGCGCGAGCTCTACAGCTTCACACTTCGTCGGCGACAAGTGCGAAGCAGCTTTGAGACGGACTTCCGGTCACACTTTCAAAGTAAAAGATACATGTCTTTGAATGAAAAACCTAAAAACTGATTTGTTCTTTACTTTTTCAGTGCATTTTTTCAACATCAAATACCAGATTTAGAAAGTTATTGTTTAATTTTCTTGTGTTATTTTTTCAATTGCATATATTTTAGATTATAACCCCATACTGAATATCTTTTTTTTCTTCATTTTTTCTTATTTATAGATTTATTTCAGTTTGATCGTTGCTTGTGTTTTGTTTTTTTTTGCTTTTCTTTCTTCAGTTTTACACTTTCTTTTGTGGTCTTTTAGTTTTTATTGTTCTTTTTCAGGCGACTTAATATTTCTTATAAATGTAGTTGGGGGGGGGGGGGGGGGGGGGGGGGTGACAATATACCCCCCCTTATTTTTTCAGTTTTGGGTCTCATTTCATTGTATTAAATGTTATTTTTATGTTTATTGTTTTTACTTTATTTTTTCTTCATTTAAAATGTAATTTTTCTTGGGTGGGGAGATCAACAGATAGTTGCAGCCCATTATGGCCTTTACCTTTCAGAAACAAGGAACCCTGATTACTGAGACAGAACTATGTAGAAAAAAGGACATTTTGAATATTAGTGGGAGTTTTGGAAGATTCTATTTTTCTGAAAGAATCTGCAGTAGGGTTTCAGTTTCATTTTATTTTTTGTGCAACAGTATTAAATCCTGAAACGTACTTCTGCAAAGAATAAGATATGAGGATCTCTTAATAACCCTTGTTGTACTCCAAAGGAAGAGGTTGCAGTTGGCAGGGACAGTGATTCAAGCCGTATCTCCACTGTCTCGGCAGTAACAACTGACTGTCCTGCATAGAGCAATGGCCTCAAACACACCCTTCGAGTGAAAAGAACAATTAAATGTGAGTTCTTATTAAATAAGTACTGAACTCTAATGCACATGTAGCACAAAAATCTAAGTTTTTACAAGTTTAGTTTAAATTGTGATCTCACACTCTGCAGATTTGTCGATGTCTTTCAGTTCAAATTCATTTATTTAAAAGTTTAATTACAGTTAAAGGCAAGCCAGTACTTTTATTTTCATCAATACAGGTTCAAGTTCCGGTACAATATTGTCTGTTTGATGCTCACTTGACGCTGGTTCATTTCGCCACCGCTATCTCCAGGAGACACACCCCGCCAGCGGTCAGACGGGAGCTGGATATGAGAATGATGGTAGTTGCACGCGCAGACGATGCTGCCTTCAAGTACGGTTTGTGAGATGCTAAAACTAGATCAGTTTAGAACCTTTTTGAACAAGTTTCAAAGCACTACAAGTACCGCTTGTCCATACTTAACATGAGTTTATGATTGATTTCTGGACACAGTCTAAATGTGAATATAATTTAGGGTCCAAATATTTTTCTATTAACGTCCTAAAACAGGTAGTCAGTATCCACATAGAAGAGGCAGAGGGCAGTGAGGCTCATTTCATGGATCTTCTTGGGTAGGGTTGGGATTAGAAAAAGATTCTGAATTGGGTTAAACACAATGGTTGTGACTTTTTAAAGGTCCACTTTCCCGGTGACTGTGTAATTATTTTTAGTTATTATTTTTGTTTTTAATGACCATTTCTAGTCGTTGCCCACCTCTCGGTCGTTGCCCACCTCTCAGTCGTTGCCCACCTCTCAATTTTAAGTCGTTGCCCACCTCTCAATTTTAAATACACGTAGACATTGAGGGCTAGCAGGAGGGACCATGCGCTTACCTGCTGCTCTCTGGCAGGTAGCTCCATGCCCTCCTGGGTTTTAAATGCACCTTAGAACACACATGCATCAACACTACAATGAGCGGGTGGAGGGAGGTTTGGAGTCTTCTCTCACCCCCATTCTCTGCGACCTGCTGGAGCGGGGGGGGCTAGGAGGAGGAGTTGGCCGTCCGACTGCGGTCTGGAGGGTGGGGCCTCCCTGCTGCTGCGGAGTCGGGGCGGTCTGCCTCCCCCCACCGCAGGGAAAAGGGTAACACCACCTGGGTCTGGGTGCAGTTCCCCCCTCCAGGGGCAAGGGTACCTAGACCCGGTTTGTAGAGTACGCTTGGGGAGTGTGATCGTGTGTACAGCGTCTCTTTATGTCTGTCTCCACGTTGGTTGAGTGTGGAGTAAGTGCATATGAGAGCATGAGGGTGGGATGGATGTTTGTATCTGTGTGTGTCTGTATTTCTGTGTCTATATGTCAGGTTGGGTGTCAGGCGCCACCTCTCTGGGGACATCTCAGGCCCTCCAAGGTTTGGAGGCCTATCTCCCCCTACCACCACTTCCCCTGCCAGTGGCGGACTCCCTCAGACATCGGTTCGTTGGTGGTTCTTTGTGTCCGGGGATGGGCGTCCAGGTACACACCGGCTCACTCCTTGGCGGCCGCATATCGGGCCTGGAGCCTGGGGCTCGCTCGGGCCACTTCGGAGGTGGGGTGCCCCCGGCCTCTCGGCCTGGGGCTCGGTCACTCAGGCACGGCTGGCTGCCGGCGGAGCTCACGGGCGCGTCATTGCAACTCCCCCTGGCTTCTGCTCCGCGGCTGCTGAGTGAGCCCTCATCTGGGACTCTCCTCAGCTCTTTCTGGGACAGTGGCGCGGCTGCCCCTCTGTTGGTCTTCCTTGGTCTCTTGTGTTCTGGGGGCCTCTGGATGTCTGGAGTTTTGATCTCCTCCATACCTGCTTCATGCCCTGGAGGACGGGGCTGTGGCCCCCCCACACCCTCTAGCAGATCATTACATGAAGGAACCTTTTAAAAAAAAAAAACAAGCGCGTCCATGCTCACAGGTGTACACACGGGTGATCACACCCACAAACTACACCCTTTTTGGCTCCTACCTCAAAGCACACTGTGTTCTGTTGATCTTATGTGCTGCACAATAATGTTTAATATTTAGTATTTACTGTCATATTCCCATATATCATTGTGATGTTGTTTATTCTATTACTCTTGTTCTCTTCTGCTTGTTTTCTTTTTTCTTTCTCAGCAGGTGACCCAGGTGATTGATATATGTATTTTTTCTCCTTCTTTTTTTTCTGCTCATTCTGTTGGTTTTTGTCTTTTGCCCTTCTCCCCCGTCCCTCTTCTCAGCTGTTTCTCTTTCCCTCTTTCTTTCTCCCCTTCTTTCCCCCAGTCAAGTCTGTCCCGTATTCAGTAAGTGAAAATAAAATGAACAATAAAAGGTGAATCAAATGGACCATTACGGCAAGGCTGGGATGGTCAATTTGGTAAAGTAAATCCGTTGGGCATCTTTCTTTGCCTTTAGACAACAATTCTGATGGCAAAAGAGCCAAACGGGACAGGCAAAAAAAAAAAAAAAAAAAAGACCATTTCATGTGTTGCCATGAAACCAGGCTCTCCTATACTCTACAACAGGCCCTTACCATAACTCTAACACAAACCTAGTTTGCTAACTTTAACCCCAAAAGCAAGAATTAACCCTCAAACACACCTTTGAAATGAAAATGAAAGAAAGAAACCATGTCAAAAAGTCAAAGTCTTACTAATTATGAACACTCAAGTGGTCCAAACTCTCACAAAACTGGAAAAGTGTGGAAATAGTGTTTCTTATGCTCTACTTATTTATTTATTTTTTTGTTGTTTGTGAATATAATTTTGCTTATTCTCACTACTGAACTGATTTCTGTCTTCCTCAAAACACTTCCTGTATAGTGCTGCCCACCCCAACAATACCATAATCAAATGTGGTCAGGATACTACAGTGTTTGGACCCGAAATTGTCAGCTTAGAGTTGAGAAAACAGCCCACTGAACACACTCAAAACTAAAGAAATCACCTTCAACTTCAGAAATAATCCTTGCGTTCTGTTTAATGTTTGATAAGTGCAGACCTGGCTCCCTTCTACATCAGCATTAACTCTGCAGAGATGGTAAACATTAGTACCTTTTACCTTTAAAAACCATTTCTTCAGTGCATTTGAAGGCGTGGCTGCTCTGTGTTGTTATATGTGGGATAATAACAATTAGGACTAATTCTAACAGGATGATTCAGCTCCATTGCCACAAGAACAGACACAAGAAGTCTTTCATAACTGCAATAATCGTGTAGAATGAAACACCTGTTTAACAGAGAAACATCTACTATATATTCTGTTTTATTTAAACTCATTCATGTACTTCTAATCTGATGGAGATTTTTTTTCTGTTGTTTTGTGTTTGATTTTATCGTATTTTAAGTTTTTTATTGGCACAGGTTGTGTCCATCATTATAATATGATCAGAAAAGTTACTGTCTTGGTGTAATAACATCTTCAGCTATTTTGAACCATCCTCCAAATGAATATGTCTGACACATCTTAACAGAAGTATTAGCTCAGCACACCCCTAGATGTCAGCATGAGCTTTTAACAGCCTGTTTGTGCAGCCCTGGGGGGCTATCTGTGACTATATTTAGCTCCTATTAATGTATGTGTCCCTTCTAATTGAAGCAAAACCTGAAACAGCTCAACTGTATGTGATTTTAGGATCTGAATTTTAAGTTAATAAGAAAAAACATAAGCAAATCTATTTGGTTTGATAGACCAAGATATAATTTTTATTGCACTGTACTGAAGCACAGCGTTGATTCAAATGGTCACACAGAACCACAAGATGGAGCTACTTTGCTATTAATGCAGCACTCTTAAATACAAGAACCTGGGGTTTTCAGAGGCACAGAAAGGGGGCTGTTTATCCAAACAATAATTACACACAGTGCACACCAGTGAAAAGTAAATTATCCATGGAAAATGATCTGTTGTGTTTCAGTAGGTTTGCAGCAGAGTTGGAGGGCTTAAATCCACAGCCTTGGCAGTCCGAGCTGTTCTTCTTCGTAACCTCTTGGTGGCGACGGTGAATGACTCATTTTTTTAAAGTGGGTTAATGAGTCATAACAATTCAGGTGCACTCAGTCGTGTTCAGCCAGTGGCCCACAAAAGATTGATCTCACTTAGTTAAAATTACTCGAGAGGAA